AGAGGAGGGAGAGGGGTGGAGGAGGAAGGAGGAGGGAGAGGGGTGGTGGAGGAAGGAGAGAGAAGGAGGAGGAGAGAGCGGGAAAACGGAGGGGGGGGGGGGCGAAGGAGGAGGATGGAGAAATATAAGGATGGAGCAAAAAAGATGGGGAAGAGGACAAGGAGAAGAGGAGAAAGAGAAGTAGAGAAACAAAGGAGATGCGGGAGAAGAGAAGACAGGATAGAGAGGGAAAGAATGTGGAGAGAGGAGGAGAGGGACTGAGGAAATTAATTTTATTAGAAGACAAAGGAACCCGAGCTTAACCCAGCATGTGGGCACCTAGTTAGAGGCAGGCAGCTAAGATTGTCAGGCTGATATTACAGGCCAGCGGATATAAATCTCAGGATGCGACGAAAATTAGACCGACAGGAGAGATAAGATGTTTGTTCTCCGCTTTTCTTCAGCAGGGATGGCTTCGTGCATGCGTATGCGAATGCGCATGCAAAGATGTATTTCATTTGTTTACCTGCCTATGCCTTCCCTTATTCACATAGGAGCAGGTATTCCTCCGTGAGGCAAGTGAAGCGCCAAGGGCTACGTGACTGCGTTGAGCCTCGTTCCTGGCCTTGGGGTCAGTGGCGATAAGGCATAAACACTCAGTAAAAAAGGAAAAAAAAAATCTGCTGACTGGGCGGGGAAGCGAGGAGCAGATCAACAGCGGGGCTCTACGGTGCCTGCTCGGGGTGGCAGCGAATGTGAGGGTGAAGATGAAGGAAGATGAAGGAAGATGAAGGAAGAAGGAGGGAAAGGATGAGGGTTTGAAAGGAGAGTGAAAGCGGACGATGGGAAGGAGAAAGAAAGAAAGTTCGGGATGAGAGTGAAAAGTGAAAAGCTCGAGAGGAGAGGGTGAAAAGGAACAGTGACCAGGGGCATTCATGAAGAAAAAAAAAGGGGGGCGGAACTTTCAAGAAAAAAAAGCAGGTAGTGATTTTTTATTTAGATAAAGGAGAAAGGAAAGAAAGTACAAAACTATAGTGATTAAAGGAAGGAAGGAAAGGGAGAGAGAAAGAGGAGGGGGAAGGAAGGAAGGAAGGAGGGAGGTTAGGCGGGAAGAAGGAAGGGAGGGACGGAAACTAAGAAATAAAGAAAGAGGGGGAATGAAGAAGAGTGGGAAGAAGAAATGAAAGAGGTGTAAGTGGGAGGGAAGAAAGAAAGAAGGAAAAAGAAAGAGAGGGTGAAGGAAGAAGTAAGTAAGGAAGGTAGGAAGGAAGGAAGGAAGGAAGGAAGGAAGGAAGGAAGGAAGGAAGGAAGGAAGGAAGGAAGGAAGGAAGGAAGGAAGGAAGGAAGGAAGGAAGGAAGGAAGGAAGGAAGGAAGGAAGGAAGGAAGGAAGGAAGGAAGGAAGGAGCGAGGGAGGGAAGGAGGGAGGGAGGGAGGGAGAGAGAGAGGGAGAGAGGGAAAGGAGAAGGAAGGAAGAAGGGAGGTAGGGAGAAAACACGTACACTTACACGTGCACGTACATTTGTATGTACACGCACATACACATTAATACGCACATACATACGCGTACGCTCATACACACGCGCACACACGCACACACGCACACACGCACACACGCACACGCACACACGCACACACGCACACGCACACGCGCACACACGCACACGCACACACGCACACGCACACACGCACACACGCACACGCACACACGCACACGCACACACGCACACGCACACACGCACACGCACACACGCACACGCACACCCACACGCACACCCACACGCACACCCACACGCACACCCACACGCACACCCACACGCACACCCACACGCACACCCACACCCACACCCACACCCACACACACACACACACACACACACACACACACACACACACACACACACACACACACACACACACACACACACACACACACACACACACACACACACAGACGCACTTTCACAGTCATGTATGCGCAAAGCACAGTCATGTCGGTTCGTATGAAAATGCAGGTAAGTTTAAGAATCCTTTCTTTTAACGTATTTCCATTAATTCGGCATTAACTCTTGAAAATCAACGAATAATCAAAGCTGCGGCGGTTGAATCTCAAACCATTTCATACCTCCGTTTTATTTGCGAAATTACCTTTGAGCGGAATCGGCTCCTCATGACGACATAGAAACAGCGGGAAGCGGCCGTGACGTCATCGTCTTGGGAGGATGAAGTCAGCTCGGGGAGAAGCGGCCCGACTCGCCTCCGTCGCTTGCCCCCGTTAATCGGCGAATAAAATCGTCTTTGTTTAGGCTGGGTTGGAGGCGTGTGGTTGATTGGTTGGTTGTGTTTTCTGTATGGAGGTGGTGATGTGTGGAAAATTATGGTAATGGTGATAGGGGTGAGGCGTGTAGACGGTATTTTAAGATGGAACGTTGAAAGGTCAGGCATATTTTTTTAACGGAGAAACGGTAACTAATTTCCTAGAAAGGATAGAGTTGCTTAGATAATACTAAGCCACACTGGCTTAGTATTATCTTGCCTGATGTTATTGTTTGCGTTATCAAAGTATTTCAGATTATATACAGGTGAAAGGTTTTCACGTGCTGGTTGAATATTTTGTCAATATTTATGTATCTAATTCGTCTCTCGAGTATGTATTCATCCCCGCAGGTGTATTAGCTATCGGTAGTCCGCTGTGTTTATTTATTACTCATGTAATAGCTTCTCCAAACCAGACATTAAGATAATTATCCAAATTTTGAAATGTTAATGAATGCTGATATTATGCAGTAGTTAATTTGAATTAAGAATCTGCCAGACATACGTAATTTAGCATAAATTTAGCGTAAGTATCGTAAATATTTCTCCTCGGTAAAATTATATTTCTACATAAACATTATCATCTCAAATGAAACGGTTTGTAGTTCATAATCCATATCGATACTAACCACTCCTTACTCTCGCTAAGTTTGACCAGTTGTCTCGTTCTCAAGCGTTCCTACTGGTCCTGATAGATCTTTCTTTCACACAGTATGCTTGCCTTTCAGACTGGGTCATCTGCAAGCGTTCAACCTGCACTCCAGTTATGCTTTAGCCACACCGACCACGCGGCCCTACACAGTTCCGCCGTGGCTGGCTATCGACACGCACCTCTTGACGCCGTTCCATTACAAGCATTACAAGATCCCTGCTACTTTCCCTATGGACAACCGTGAGTACTGGAGAGATGATAGACGTTGTGCTTTCCCTTTACAGAAGTGTTGGGGTTTGCTTGCGGAAGTGTTTAGCTTTGGTTAGCTTGGAAAAAATGTGTTAGGAATGTGCAGATGAGTACCGAGGGTGGTTTGATTATAAGAAAAGTATGTGGAACTATACGTTTACTTGTGTACATAAAGGTCCGCATACCTTTGCTTGCAGACGGAGGTGGTACTCTGTATTTAAATCAGTATGGTTTGCTTGCAGAAATGTCAGGATCTGTAAGGTTTGCTTGCAGAAATGTCAGGATGTGTATGGTTTGCTTGCAGAAATGACAGGATCTGTAAGGTTTGCTTGCAGAAATGCCTGAATTTGTAAGGTTTGCTTGCAGAAATGCCTGAATCTGTAAGGTTTGCTTGCAGGAATGCCTGAATCTGTAAGGTTTGCTTGCAGAAATGCCTGAATCTGTAAGGTTTGCTTGCAGGAATGCCTGAAACTGTAAGGTTTGCTTGCAGGAATGCCTGAATCTGTAAGGTTTGCTTGCAGAAATGCCTGAATTTGTAAGGTTTGCTTGCAGAAATGCCTGAATCTGTAAGGTTTGCTTGCAGGAATGCCTGAATCTGTAAGGTTTGCTTGCAGAAATGCCTGAATCTGTAAGGTTTGCTTGCAGGAATGCCTGAAACTGTAAGGTTTGCTTGCAGGAATGCCTGAATCTGTAAGATTTGCTTGCAGGAATGCCTGAATCTGTAAGGTTTGCTTGCAGAAATGCCTGAATCTGTAAGGTTTGCTTGCAGGAATGCCTGAATCTGTAAGGTTTGCTTGCAGAAATGCCTGAATCTGTAAGGTTTGCTTGCAGGAATGCCTGAATCTGTAAGGTTTGCTTGCAGGAATGCCTGAATCTGTAAGGTTTGCTTGCAGAAATGCCTGAATCTGTAAGGTTTGCTTGCAGAAATGCCTGAATCTGTAAGGTTTGCTTGCAGGAATGCCTGAATCTGTAAGGTTTGCTTGCAGGAATGCCTGAAGCTGTAAGGTTTGCTTGCAGAAATGTTTGAATCTGTAAGGTTTGCTTGCAGAAATGTCAGGATGTGTATGGTTTGCTTGCAGAAATGTCAGGATGTGTATGGTTTGCTTGCAGAAATGCCTGAATCTGTAAGGTTTGCTTGCAGAAATGACAAGATCTGTAAGGTTTGCTTGCAGAGACGTCAGGATCTATATGAATTGCTGAATTGCGGAACCCAGTGGTTTTAGATATGTAAGCACTTTGTGTTTTAGAAACGTATATGAGGTTTATTAAAATATTAATTTACATTATAAGGTATCATGCCTTTGCCATAATATTCATAAGGGCATATGAAAATAATTGTGCTTTAGAAATACGAGGTCAATTTGCATTTTATTATTTTGTGAGGACTAAGGTATTTATATAAGTATGTGACTATTATAAGTTCTAAAAAGTGAGGTTTTTCAATCCAGGAAAGATTTAGAATATTTAATTTATCCATATTCAAGTATACGATTTTCTCCCCAACAGCTGATAAGAAACTCACAACATCACAGAAGAAATTGAAAAACGAAAAGGCGAAAAACAAGAAGAAACTGGCAGACCTAGAAAAAATGGCAGACGAAGAAGACGAAAACCAGAAGGAGAAAGACTGATAACTGAACACTTCAATTAGGAAATGTTTGAGTTACTCCTTTCCGTTTAATTGGCAATGCTATGCTTCACTAGATAAAAAAAAAATATGTATTTATGTAAAGCATTGGCATCTCCACATTTATGTATGTGTGTAATAGAAAATTTTGTTAGAGATTAATGACAATAAAATACAAGTTTTATTTTTTTCGCTTTATTTTCCCCAATGTGGGATTTTTGTAATACAAAGAGAAGTAAGAATATAAAATATTATATCTTTGGATTTAAATTCACAAATAAATTTCACAATAAAATATAATAAATACATAGATATCACAAAAAAATGGTACGTTTTGAAAATAAAGACATAACACTTTGCACATCTAACAATTGTCCGACTTTTTCATTGGGATTGTTGCATACCAATTGCTTATCCTTGTGACACAGTCATAATAATGACAAAGTAATAAATAATTTTGTTGTCATTTTCAATTTGATTTTGAGAATCGGCTGTTTCAATATTTCCTTGATTTCGAAAAATATCACGCGCACAACAATCGCATCTCAAAGACTAAATATTATAACTAAACATTATTGGCGTTTATTTATAAAAGTAATAAAACTTGGAATAACAGTCTTTCAGCATACGAACCAACATCCTCTGCGTATTAAAAAATCTATTCTAAACTTTGTATGTTATGTGTTGATCTGAATAACATTTTAAAGAGCGTATGCACAATGAACATGGAGATCAGGTCACTGGGTGATTGTAGGCACACTTATAAAACCGATTGTTGGTGCAAGTGTCGACACCTTCGGCGCTACGGGCACGCCGATGCGTCTGCGGGTGTGGCGCTTCATGTGTTTGGCGAGGTGGTCGGACCGCATGAACTTGGTACTGCACACGGAGCACACGAACTTCTTCTCCCCAGTGTGAGTTCTCTTGTGTCGCGACAATTCGTCAGATCTTGCAAAGCGTCTCCCGCAGCTTTCCCAAGAACAGTGGTAGGGTTTCTCTCCAGTATGAGATCGGTTGTGAGACTTCAAATGTGATGATTTATAGTACGTTTTATCACAGCCTTCAAATGTACATTTGAACGTTCTTTTTCTATCTTCTAAGGGCGTCTGCACCTGCGGGGCGGACACCAGGATTGGAGATAACATTTGCGAGACCGCGGGTGGATTGCTTCCTTGGGAGGCAACGATAAAATGTGTAATTCCTGAATTGGAGACTGGAATCATGGCAGGGGAGCCATTGACCTGCGTGATGATCATTGGCGTGCCAGATGTGACTGGAATAACAGTTGGAATCTTTGGTGCGATGGCAACGAGTTTGTTATTCTGCGGCGCCTTCGAGAGCAGCCCTGGCTTGGGGAGCGGCTCTATGGAACCAGGGTTTGGGGTATTCACTACGCACGGCTTGCTTCCAGCATTGAACTCGCGGTCTGTGTCCTTGGAGTTCACGAAAATCTGTTCTTGCGCGGTGTGGACGCTCTGGGAGGGGAGGGGAGAGGCGGCGTCGAGGAACGCCTCCGCTCTGGAATGCGGCCGAGGGACCTCCTCGTCGCCGCATTTGCAGTTCTCGTCGTCGGCGTCGCCGGGGCTCTGCGTGAACTCGTACATCTTCCTCTCCGCCAGCGTGCGCGGCCGGTCATGGTTCTGCCGCTGGGGCTGGTGGTCCGCCTTCACGATGACGGACACGGGCACGCCGGAGAGGGAGGCGGGCGTGGACGACCTGGAGCCGTAGTTGGGCAGCATGGGGCTCGGCGAGCGAGGGGGCGTGCAGGGCGTGTGGGTCGGGGTCTGGCTCAGCAGCGCCTGAAAAGCAAGGCAAATATCTACTTTATAATCATCTTCAAATTTTCCTAAACTTTCTACTCAAATAAAACGATCTATATAAAACAAATGTTAGTTACTTTAACAGACACATAGATAAAAAGGAAAATCTAACTCATTTCTGTCCCTCCAAATGCAAAGCAGAGTGAGAGAAGGAAAGTGGCCATGACTCACCTTGGCCAAGTCGGAGTTCATGCCTTTCCTGGGCAGCAGCAGGGAATCGCAGTGCTCCTCAGCGTCGGACTCGATAGGGTAGCTGGGCGAAACCCCTCCCTGGGACGCAGGGGGGGAGGGGGGCAGCTCGATGGCGGGGCTGCTGGCACTATCTCTGCTGGACCACTTCATCTCGTGCTGGGACAGGAAGAGCAGAGACTCCACCGCCTCCAGGTCGGTGTACGTCTGCTCCTCCAGTTTCGAAGGCTTGAACGGGTACAAATCGTGCTTGTAGGCCATGGAGTCCGCATAGCCACGGGACCCGACTCCTGCAGGGAGGAAGCCGCCCGGGGGGGTCGCGCACTGTCTGCGCTCGGGCTCGTCCGCTTCGGGCTGGTTGTGGCCGTGTCCCAGCACCTGCACAAAAGACAAAGTAAATGGTTAATTATATGCAGGTTTGCTGCGTTGTCTTAAGCAACATAATAAATAATTAATTACTTGGGTTTCTCTTGTCACTTTTTACGTACATATTGGTATAAAAAGTCTCCTACGATTACATGTTCATACCAATTAAATAAATCGATGAAAACAAATGTTGAATTTCCGATGAAAACAAATGTTGAAATTATCCAAAAGCATTATAAAGTCCCCGCACCGTGGAAAAACGAAAAGGGTTTCCACGCTCCCAACCTCAGCCAACGTCCACGCGCGCGAGACATGCCAGACAGCACGTCGCCCACCCAGCCCCGAGGCCCCCGGGCTTCTGTTTTATTAAATCACAACTTTCTCGCTTCTAATCGCTCATTTTCGGCAAGGTTATCGCCCCACGTCGCAAGACAGGTCTTCCTCATCAAGCACTCGAAATGCATCTTCAACAAATGGCCCGTCGCATAGCATGCGTGACGTCACCGGTATCACGTGATCAGCATGCGATGAGAGCGTGAACGACACACCCCTCGCCATGACGTCACTCCTTTCCTTCCACACGCGCTACTCTTCCCCGCTTTTCTTTCGCCGAAAGTTGGTCTTGGCGAGATATTCTCCAACAATCGCTCGAACAACGAACTTTGTTCTCTGCGGAACACTCGCGAGAAATGATGGGGGGGAGGGGAGAAAATCGATATATGGCGATATACGGCATCGCGCAACTTCCTCCTCGTGTTCTTTGTGTGGCGGGAAAACAGGTCAAGGAACGGCCGTCCTGCAGCTGCCTGTTTCACTTTCGGGCCTTGCATCGCGCTCTGCAGTTCGAAGTGGGGATGGGCAGGGGGGGGGGAGATTTTTTTCCCCATCGAGGGTATCAAGGGGGGGGGGGGGCAGGCGACGACGGTTCTCTCTCGTTCATGCAAGCACGCCCTCGACGGAAATGGTAATGCTTGGATCTGAGAGGAGCGAGTCTGGTGGCTACGTGTCCGATGCACATTGCATTGTTTCCGTACATATGTTTGCGTTTACTTACATATATTTTTTTAAATGGAAAAGGTATGTTTTATTTACGTAATGCACAGTGGTGTGCGTCAGCATACATATACAAACACACACCACGGTGCATTACGAATATAAAACATACGTGAGAGTTACATGTGTGTGTGTGTGTGTGTGTGTGTGTGTGTGTGTGTGTGTGTGTGTGTGTGTGTGTGTGTGTGTGTGTGTGTGTGTGTGTGTGTGTGTGTGTATGTGTGTGTGTATGTGTGTGTGTATGTATGTGTGTGTGTATGTATGTGTGTGTGTATGTATGTGTGTGTGTATGTGTGTATGTGTGTATGTGTGATGTGTGTGTATGTGTGTGTATGTGTGTATGTGTGTGTATGTGTGTGTGTGTGTGTGTGTGTGTGTGTGTGTGTGTGTGTGTGTGTGTGTGTGTGTGTGTGTGTGTGTGTGTGTGTGTATGTATGTATGT